CTTGAAGCCGATTTTGTAGCAGCACACGTCATACGCTCCCCGGATGAAGTCGAGCCGGAATGGTTTGCGGAGGAATTATCGGCAATAATACTATTTTCACCTGCCTCGAGTTCGGATATCTTGCGCTGGAGAAGCGCATGGACGCTATTCCTACACGCAGTCGCCCAAGGTGCGGAGTTGATTGCACTTCCGGGTCCTCAAGATGACGAAGGGTGGGGAGCCACCGTGGATCTTCTTCGTGACTTAATGGAGGAAACCTGCGCACAGCGCCCGAGCCTTGCCCCAAAAATGCGATGTTTGCTGCCGAAGCGCTCGGAAAACGCGATGCTGGGAGCCGCCTACAAAATTTTGGCCGACAAAATCAACCTTGTTACCGGAAGACACTTCACTTAGAGCGCAGCGAAAAGGTTTTGGAACGCCACAAAAACCCAATACAGCGCATTTTTGAAACTGCCGGACTTCAAAAGGATACGTGAGCCTGAGAATAGCTGCAGAAGCGCAGCAGTGCAGAGGGAGCCCCGAAGTAGCACCTATATGCGAGGACGAGGAGCACGTCACGACTCTCGGTCGCAACAACGGAATTTTAATCAGCTGGAGAACAGATCTTCTTTGTATCAACGGAATTCTCATCGACGGGAGAACAGATCTACGTCACAGAGCAGAACGACGCCAAAACCTCGTTTTCAAAGAAGGGAGCCCTTTAGAAATTCTTGCAGAGGACGGCTAAACTAGTCGCGCAGTGGAAGCGCTCTTTGCAGGGGACCCCCTTGTAGTGTAGTACTAGTGTTTTTCTATGTTTGATATATCATATAGTTCACAAGTTTCTTTGTTTTGGCTGTTTATCGAATCGATAAGCAGCTAGCCTGGCTAAGGCATCCTAGCGTGCCCCTAGGATACACGCTGCGAGAGAGTAAGGATGAGGCAGTGAGAGGGGGCGGGGTTGACCTCGACCTTGACAGTTGCGCTACGCTATGGCTGCCATGAGCTAGGTAGTGTGATATCCTGCATTGACCAAGAGTGGTCACTCGTCTTGTTTTCCTTTTATTATCTTGTCATCTCATAGTGCCTTAATTTCTTTCATTTGTGCCTTTGTGTTTCATCATTTTGAAAAGAATTCAGTTTGCAAGTAAATATTTTACTTTGCAACAGTGTTTGTTGTTCACATCTGTGTCGGATTCGACCGTGATATTTCGATATCGTGCTCATTTATTTGTTGAAGAAACCGACTCTGGCAGATTCGGACTGTCCGGCGGAGGGGTCCGGTCGATTGTCTGAGTCAACGCTTGTGCTTTGACCGTTTGGGCCATAATAGCGCTACCTGCTGTGGGGTAATGGATTTTGGTTCAGAGGCTATAGTTTTTGGTTTTGCACATGCTTATGTGCAATGATTATATCTCGGTGGTACAATACAGTGTAGCATAATGCAATATCATCGCTGTCTCTTTGGCATTCTTTGGACGAACGTAGCTACTTTCATCTCGATTCACATCGGCTTGCTGTAAATAAAGAAGATAGATCCGCGTCCTGATGTACTCCAACCTTATTTGGAATTTTCTTGCGATGCAGCACTTTGTAACTTGGGATGGACTAATCTCCCAACCAACATATTTTCTGGCACTAAATTCAGTAGGCGCACGCAAGACATTGCGAGACAGAAGAGCATTAGTTTCTGCGAGTGATTATAATCTTCACCTGGAAATAATACTAGAATTAATGTATGCGCGCTGGACTAGACTATCGTTTTGGTGCTTTAGCTTGGTAGTGCTGAATGGCTTTAGCTGCTTTTTTAGATTGACGCGGGTTTTTGCGGTTTTGATCTTGTGTTTCTTTCTAAATATTACATAGATCACTCCTCCATGAAAACACATCAGGTGTCCTACCCGAGATTGACTGGAGACAAACCCAGGCTTTGTTTCATCAGTTGAGAACCTTTTTTCCAAATCTCGAACTCATGGTTCTACTTGAAACTTGTCAGGTCTCTCAAAACTTTGGGTTTAAGTTTGTAGATACCTAGGCGAAATCCTCGTTTGAACCGCTTTGGACATGCATGAGCGAAGTATTCTCCAGTGCCATTCACCTGGCATCCCAACTTACATATGATGGGCTCAGATTCGTGTGGAGGCGGGTTGCGGGCAGTCTTCATGATTATAAGATAAAGTTAATGAGAGAGTACGATAAACAATGCTAACGTGAAATTTCAACTAGTTTATTTCTATAATCAGGGAAAGTCCGCAACCCTTCTATATATGCAGCCGTATGTTTTCAATAGCATTGGCTTGTATTTTATCGTTGTATGAGTTCTTTTCTGCTCATACTTCATTGAAGTACGATCGACTGCCACACATGTTGGTCATGCCAGAGGAGCTCAGCAGGGGGCCACATGGGTAAACTGGATATCTTTTAAGTCGAAAGCAAAGGAAATATCGCATGAGGTCTCTGGTCAAACCAAAAATTGCCTTGATTTGCTTGCTATCATGTGATAGGTGTGTAAAATCTTAGTTTGCTTTCTGAAACAAATCTTGAGGAAACTTAATCTTACCATTTACAGATTGTCTATATGCATCTTGGTAACGATTTCCGCTCCGGAATCATTCATCGATTATTATCATAATACCTATTCAAGTTTGGTGTCAGAGATCAAAAGACCATTTCGATATTGTTTTATTGCGTTCTGAATGGTCATCATATCAAATTGTCTAGAAGTGTGCGGCGGTACGAGGGCGCTCTGCTTCAAAAAGTGACTTGGGAGTGATGCCGAAGCTTGGAAAAAATAACGTGCGAACTTGAACTACATCTATCGACCAGCGATTGACATGCATTTGCATGTACTTCTCAAAAATTTAGTTGGTAGATAGTCTAGCATTTGGAAGAGAGGGTGAAATTTGCCAACAGTAAAGCTGATTTCATTGTTTTTGTCGAAAAATAACTTCGGGCACACACTCCGAATGAGCTGAGGAGGAGGGAGGGGACTTTTGATCCAGCCTTTCTAAAAAATTAGATGCGCGACAGAAAATTAGATGCGAGTCGAATTATGTCTCCTCAGACAATTATGGCGAGCACCCGCCGACCACACACGGGCGACGCCACGTCCATCCCGAGGGCGCGCCGATAAGTGCCCGATAAGCGCCCGACATTGCCCGCGGGCGACCCGATAAGCGCGCGAGTAATACCATTGGGTGGCCCGACCAGCGATTGACATGCATTTGCATGTACTTCTTAAAAATTAGTTGGTAGATAGTCTAGCATTTGGAAGAGAGGGTGAAGTTTGCCAACAGTAAAGACCGATAAACTCGACAAGCGCCCGATAAAGGCGCGATTCGCACCCTCGGGTGACCCGATACGCACTCGGTACTCGAACTACGAAAAATTTTGAGAGGCTGTTCCCACTTCCGGTTTGTCGTAAGGGCCGCGATCTACACAAAAATACAGGATGACTTTCACACCCCTTCCCATCAACGCTCTAACCCTATAACCACTCTCGAGGTCTTCGGTTGTATCATTACCACCGAAGCGACTTTCGACGACCAGAACTTGGCTTGTCCTTGCGATCAAATGTTGAGGGTAGCTCTATCACCGCGCCGTGTCTCACGCAGGTAACGTTTCCTCTTATAGCGTGTAAGTGCGGCATCCAGCAAGGCCCGGAGCTCGCCAGAGTTGTTTTGTCGGGCCGTGGCCTAGAGGGCCGGGGCTTGCCCGAAAACTACAATGCAGAGAGTCCTATAAGGGCCGAGGCTCGCCCGTGTGGTTTATCTTGGGCCGCGGGTGTTCCGATAGAATATTTGAGGCCCGCGGCCTTTCCGTAATGACAACATTGGGCCGCGGGTCGCCAAGCAATTAAATCTAGGGCCGCGGATGGTCAGTGCAAGAATTTGATGCCCGCGCACCGCCGAAGGATACCGTTAGGGGCCGCGGGTGCTCGCAGTAATTTGCATATACATAAGCAAAAGAATCGGATTATTTTTGGAAAACAGCCTAAGAATTATGTAAATAATGATTGGTTTTTTGCAAATTATCTCTGCTTTGCGACGAGGTAATGAGGTATTTGCGAATTAACTGGGATATGAGCAAGGTATGGTTGAAATTTTTTTCCAAATGGTGTGGCGCACTTTTTCTTTCAAAACTGCTTGAGGTGACATCAAAAGAATAGATTTGTAAGTTTTTTCTTCCCCACCTAATCTCTTTTAGGTGACACCTAATACATCTCAAATTTCTGTATATAAACTCTCAAGCAGCTTTGAAAGATTTGCTTTCTCTTGACAAGGAAAGTGTTTTTGGTCGGAGTGGCCTTGTAGAGTTCTATACCATCCTGTGGCGCTTCGAACGCCGATTGCAAATCTGCTTTCACTGTCTGCCAAACGCTTCTGGAAGCCGAGTGGGCAACTCAGACAGAATGTTGAGGATTGCTTATATGGCTCAATGTTGAATATGAGGCTTTTATATAGTGGAGACCTCTCGTTTAATGCACACTACTCAGCACCCTCTATGAGCGCTAAAGCGACCGTAAAAGTTAAGTTCAACTGTTTTTTACGTATATTTCTCCTCTGAAAACACTCATAATTTCGCGTCCAAAGGCTTGGAATGCCATTTCGAAAACGCGAAATTCTTGGCGATCCTGCTTCACACATACTGTAGTGGGCGTCAACGTCAATATGACGCAAAGGAAAAACAAATATTAGTTTCTCTGTGTTGGGTGTCACTCTAACTTTTACAATACGAAGCTTTGTTTGATCCATTGCCGCGTATGTGTAAAATGCCTTTTTTGTTGTTTGCCCTTTTTAAGAATGGGTGTTTTTTTGTGAAAGGAGATGAAGAGCGGGTACAGATAGGGAAGACCTAGCAGCTGATTCAATTTCAAAAAGACCTTGTATATCTTTGTTTATTTTTTCATGGTATCATAGTATCTGGCTTTCTCAAACATATCAGGTAGTAATATTAAAATTTTATTCTGCTAATGCTTACTTGTTCCCCTGTTCGCATTCCCTTTGATGGCATCCCTGACATCAATCTTGACGAATTTTCCCCTGGCCATTGTTCCTAGTCTTTTTTCTACTTGGCACACCTCCTGCTGGCAATTCTCGTGGTGAAATCTTTATACTTATCTCTCCTGGTACTCTTTCTAATAATATTTTTTGTTCTAACATTGCTGTTGGCTTTCTTGATCTCATAGATTTTCTTCTTGTTGGTATCCCTGCTGGCCTTGTTGGCATTGATGATTCTCCTTTTGGCCTTCTTCGTCCTGATATTCCTTTTGGTGGAATTTTCGCTGGCCCTTCTGGCATTGATTCTCCTTTTGGCGTTTCTGTTTGTGACATTCCTTTTGGTGGGATTTCCGCTGGCCCTTCTGGCATTGATTCTCCTTTTGGCGTTTCTGTTTGTGAAATTCCTTTTGGTGGGATTTCCCCTGGCCCTTCTGGCATTGATTCTCCTTTTGGCTTTTCGCGTTGTGCCATTCCTTTTGGTGGGACTCCTGCCGCCGCTGCTGGCATTGATGATTCACCTTTTGGTGATCGTGACATTTCTTTTGATGGGGTTTCTGATGGCCCTGGTGGCATTGATCCTCCTTTTGGCATTCCTGCTAACATTCCTGCTGGCAGCATTTCTGCCAACATTAATCCTCGTTTTAGCGTTTCTGCTAGTGACATTTCTTTTGGTGAGATTCCCGGCACTGCTGGCACAGATGTTCCTCCTGGTGCCGTTACTGCTTGTAAAATTCCTTTCGGTGGAACTCCTGCCGCCATCCCTGCTCTCATTCCTGCTGCCATTCCTAATAATTCTGCTTCCGTACCTGGCATTCCTGCAGGCATCCCCCATAGTCCTCCTGGTGGCATTCCTGGCATAATCCCTGGTGGTGGCATTCCTCCTGTAAATGGCACACCAATCGGACCTCCGGGTAATGCCCCGGGTAGACCACCATTATATCCATATGCATATGGAAAAGGATGCATCATATCTAAATGAAATGTGCAAACATAATCGCAAAGCATCTGCACCAAAAGACTAACATCCATATGAAGGAGGAGCGGTGGCTGGTTGCATCGTAGACTGTGAGTTTGCTGTGGAGATAAAGGAGATCAGCAGCGCAATTATGAGCATGTTTCAACTGAAATGGCTGAAATATTTCGGTAAAAAAATCAGGGAACACATCTTATTGTTAATGTCTTTGCGCAACTACTTTTGCAGCTCAGACCTCTTTGATACGGAAAAAACTTGAAAGTGCCAACTAGTGTGTATACTTTGAAATGGCGAGATTACGCTGTAGGGATTGAAAAATAGCAGCGCTTCCAGCACTCCGAGCGAAAATACAATGTTCGCCATAATTAGTAAGCCACTCTAGAAATCGTCGCAATCTTCTTCTTGTCATTGATGTCTAAAACTTTGCTGTATTGTGCGCATGTCAACCTTCCATGAGCCCTTGAAACGGCTTCCAGTCTTGTTGAGTTTGAACGGAGCAAAACGAAAAAAAATCGAAAAAGCCCTTAATTGAAAGCTAGACAAATCATAAAGACACCTGGTTTAATCACTATCGCATTTGTTGACTCTCAAATTTTGTACAGGAAACATTTGCAACACCTACGGCCATCATCCTCCTCAAACAAAAGCGATCATTGCATTTTTTGCTTTTAAAAGCATCAACTCAGACAAACCACCGGAACTTCCGCAGGACACGCCAAATTTGCAGAAGATCCGCAGAATTTTGTTCACTATTGCAAAAATGAAAACGTTGAAAAACGGAACTTTCGCAGAACCTTCTTCGAAATCCTGCGGAAATTCCGAAGAATGCCAGAGGTTCCGCAGCACTTCGGCCTGCCAGAACTTCCGCAGGACTTTGAATGTGTTGTCTCGTGATGTTGCCTTGCCAACAACTAGAGTGCATTATCGAACATTTCAGCCGTAGTGTAGAGGATAGTAGGTGGGTCTCACATTCAATAGAGTGAGGTTCAAATCTCGCTTCGATGTTTTCCTTTGCTGTTGCAGTTGATATTCTTCGGAACTTCCGCAGGATCTTAAAAGTCAATCTTTTTCAACAGACAGCTGATTTAAGGAGTCTTCAAGCTCTTGTTTATTTCAAATGATAGTAATAAAATCTGCTATCCTTTTTGATAAATGAGGTGAAGAACGCTCTCATAAACTCTGCGTAATCGCTAATATTGACGGACAAACTCCAACCTCACCATGGAGTTGACGCACTTTTGCACCACATAACTCAATTTTCAAGCAACAGAAAATGCTGTAATGTGGCCATTACGAAGCCATACAACAGTGGACTTGGGGATTGAGCACTCTGGTTCAGCCGCAGTTGACATCCACTGAATGTTGAGTGGAGCACCATGCACAGTCAAAGCCAACTCAGATCAAGAGATAAGACACTGGACGCTTAAAACTTCAAAATCTTAGCTAATCTCATTCATCGGGTGAAATATGACATGAAAAGCAGAGGGAAATAAGGAGATCTAGGGTTATATCGAATCTTCTGCTCGCAGAGAATTTTCGCGAGAAGTTTTTCAGTTCTAAATCGCAACTGCATCAATAGGGAAAGCCAGAAGTTGTTGCAAAAGCTGCGTCACCATGTAGGCAATTTGATAAATCAAATCCAGCGCTTCATGAACATTGCAAACAGACTTTTGTGGAGTAAAAGTGTGACAACCCTATGGTGCGGTCCGGAGTCTGTCCGTCAATATCAGTGATTACGCAGAGCTTATGGAAGCGCTCCTCACCTCATCTATCGATGCTCAGTAGATTTTATGACTATCATTTGAAATAAAAAAGGGCTTGAAAACTCCTCAAACCAGTTTCTTGTTATAGCAAATTGACTTTTGATGCTTTTGAAAGCAAGAAGTGCAGTGATCGCTCCTATTTGAGTAGGGTGACAGGCAGAAGTGTGTTGCAAATGTTTCATATTTTAGGATTTAATTGTACAAGAAAATCTGAGATTCAACGAATGCGATAGTGATTAGAAAAAACCAGGTGTCTTTATAATTTTGATTAGCTTTCATTAAAGGCTTTTTCAAATTTTTTCGTTTTTCTCCGTTTAAACTCAACAAGACTAGAAGCCGTTTTGAGGGGTGGGTTAACACGCGCACAACACAGCAAAGTTTTAGACAGATTCATTGGCAAGAACGAAAATTACGACGATTTCTAGAGCGTCTTCATAATTATGGCCCAGCATCTGTAGATAGATGCGAACTTGTTGCCGAGAAACCTCATCAGTGTCGCATCATTTCTGGATACCCTAAATCTTACAGATGAGTCCTCTTATTGAACAAGCCCATCTACAGATGAGTCTGCCTGCAGACAAGTCCACTTTTGACTTAGACAAAGCCCTTCAGATAAGTTCGCCCTACAGATACCGTTTTCTTTCCATTATAACTACCCTGAAATCTTTTTAATTTAGTCCGAAGACTGTCAGATAAGTCCGGACTTATGTACGCGGACTTATCTGATAGGAGAACTTATCTGCAAGATTCTTGGCAATGCGAGGTTGCATATTCATCGACTTTTCTTGTCAAAAAGGCGGACTTATATGTAAGATTTTAGGGTATATTTGCCAAGAAAGTGGTCTTTTGCAGAGGCGCAGACGGATTTAGCACTGAGAATCTCGATTTGTAGTATTGTTATCTTTCTTTCTCTCTCTCCCTCCTTTTGAAGCTGAGGCAATTGGCATATGGCAAATTATTAGAGTGTCTCATTATTTTTCTGCTGTTTTCATTACAACCGTCGTCTTCTTTGTATCTTTCTTTCAATTGATGTGACTTGAGTCATTCGACAGAACAAGACAAGCTCTACAAGATGGTATGAAGAGTCCGCTCAAATCATATTCCAAGTGAAGTTTTGGGGTGAGTTCTGATAGCAGTCGAAAAGAAGTTTACCGTCAAAAATCGTATTTCCGCCCCAAAATATCTCAAAAATCATCAATTTATCCTAGCAATCAAGATTCAATTGTACGCTTTCCGCATTTTTTACATGGCTAGAAATAAGGAAAAAATGAATTTAGTAAAATGACAAACTCCGCCCCTAGACGTCCGGAGCTCCTCCCACGTACATGGTCATACATGGTCATATAGCTCAGATATACAGAAGATCATGTATTGGTACCCTTTGCAAGTGTCCCAGTTCGTGAGAAATGCTGATGTTAAGGGTAAAAACGGTAAAGAATTATAAGACACCCTAATAGCTGCTAATCAAAAAAAAATTTTAATTTTTAAGGCATATTGATCTTCGTACTTGAAGATGGTTACACTAGTCTTTGATTTTTAATTACATGCTGGCTTCTTGTAGAGCCCGAAATTACGGTGTACTTACTGAGGCTTGTAAGTACTCATGTAAGAACAGCTCTACTTTTTTGGAGTATACATAAGAAAGTTCGTTTCTTCAGTTTCTTGTTGAACCAGTTACGGTATATATGAGCGTTTGATGTTGATAGTATAAGGTGACGAAAAAAATCTGTAGGAGTTTCATATAGGAAGGTCCGATTTTTTTTTATTTTTAGGACTTTGCGATTTAGATCTTATCTTCGAACCTTTCGCGCATCAACACGGTGCGAAAGTATGAATTTAATTTGGAAAGTTTGCTTTGCTCTCGAATGATATCTCTCATGCATTTTTGAAAAAAGCTTTACTGCAGTCCTATCACAAATAAATTATAAGAGACATTATTTGCTTTCTGACTGATAAGACCAAAGACCGACCAACCGTCAAATCAGTAAAGCGTCCGTTTACTGATTCAAAACTTCGAAAGAATTCATTTATCATCAACAAGTTGTGCAATCAAGCTTCCTACTTCTACTTGGATAAAGAATCTATCAGCTCAACGTAACGTGAATTGTTTGTAGAGTGACTATCAACAAAGGGTAGAGGTATCAGATAGTAGAGTCTTCCAGTTCCTCTTTGTAGATACTCAAAATGACATTCGACGTGGTTTTCCTGAGCGTTATCTCTACGCATAATATAACACAAACAAATCTGAGCAAGTTTCAAAGAGGGCTCTAGAAGCGATTACGTAGTACCTCACACAACAAGAAAGGAACAGCATAAGCATTAGCATTTTCTTTACTCTTACATTTGATATTAAGGGTAGTTGAGATTATAGAGCTAAACACAGTTACTCATCTACACATTTCTTTGGACACATGAATGATATGTACTCAAAACTGGGAACTTCAATTTGCAAGCACTTTCGCTCTAGCATTTGCTTGATGATAGAGAAACAACACAACATTCGTGAAAGATAGCATTGACAATGCACAGGACTGTTTGGGAGCGGGCACAAATAATCTAGGTTGTTTTCAAGAGTTAAAACGCTTTTATGGATCGAATGGGTGAAAAAGTGATTTTATAGCTGAAAACAAATTTTCGACGACGAGAAAAGCGTCATTAAAACAAGTTTATTGTCCCTCATGCATGTAGAAAACTAAAAATCTATTCTGTGTTGATCTCTATGATCCGTTGCTGTTGAATCTAAGCGTCTTTGTGAGCGTCGAATACTGTCATCTCGAACAGGCTGTTGATTGGTCCCTCTTTATCCGCCAGTTTGCGGCCTTACGATTCGCGTTTCGTCGTCATCAGCCTGGGCTGGTGCATCTATGACTCCAGCCCACCAATTGCGTCTATATTGCCAGTTCTGGCCCTGTGCCGATGCAATCGGCACCTCTCTTTGTAGCCTATCACTCTTTCGCCAGATTACCGTAAAGGTCATGCCATAAGCATGACCTGCTGTGATATGAGTGTGTTTATAGCCCAGATGTTTGTTATGTTACTTTGCCACGCCTTTAATCGTCAGCATTCTACCACTGCACGAATGGGTGCATGTCGTCTGTTCAATAAAGCTCTAATAGCTTAGTGTTCTATTAACGCATTAGGAGCCACCATACTCCACTACAGGCGCCACCTATTCGCCTAAGGCTACAATAAAGCCTACAGCCAATACATTTCTGGTGTATCGGCTAAACAAGACCGATACCATGCTCCGCTTCCAAGGACAAGATAGAAGCCACAATGGAGCAATTCCGATTTTGCATCACCATATGGAGGATGAGAGAATTCACGCCAAAAGACTCGCGGAACTACTACGAAAGTACGCGAGCTATGGTGAGAAAACATTATTTCCAGACGAT